CTGCAGCTAAATGAAAAACTTTTTTAAGGTTTTAAAATAATCTCTGCATAAAATTATTCCAAACTCCTAATTTCAGCATCTTAATTTTCAGTAAAATTTATGCTTTTATACCTCAAAATATAAAGCATATGAGATTTCAACTCCAAGTTATATGTAGAATAATTGCAGCTGGCTATTCGGATATTAGCTGTCCAAATGACCTCCCTTTTTGTTATGTTGTGTAGCTACGATAATAATCAAAGTGGGTACTTGTTCTTGCATGAGTGGGGAACACCAGAAATGCTTTGGTGTGGCATTTGGCTGTTTGTCCTTTTAAAGGCTAAGGCCAAAGCTGATACCAAGGAGCAGATCTTGACTGAATAACAATGTTGAAGCCACATATTTAAGTCTTCAAGAAATGTGTAGGGTGAAGGGAGGGGAAGGGGAAAGGAAAGGAGGGAAAAGAAAAACTATGAGAAAAGGAAAAAAAAATGGAAACGATGTCTGTGTAAATAGGGAAGGGCGGAGGGGGTGAAGGATGAACAGGTAATGGGGAAAAAAATAAGAACCGGGATACAATCATGTACAGGTCCAAACACCCAATGATAAATGTAAACGAATTGTACACCTAAAATGTACCAATAAAAGAATTTAGAAAGAAAAATAAAAAAAAATGGGCTCAAATTTGAAAAAAAAAAATGTGTAGAATGAGTTTGGATACAATTCCACTTCAGCACACACCCTGGCCACATATGGGAACAATTGAGATACTCATATGACTATGGTTTCACATTCTATCTTATTACTTGTTGTTTAATGTATGCTAAGTTTAGTACTTGGTACATTACTGTGCAATTTTTCCTAAGTTCATTATTTTTTTTTTTTGGTACCGGGCATCGAACTTGGGACCTTGCGCTTGTGAGGCAGGGGCCAGAATCACTGAACTAAATCCCTGGCCCTTCTCTTGGGATTTTAGAGTTGAGGTTAAGTGGTTGTTTAACTTTTAACATGATCCCAACTTGTTTCCCCAAGAAATTAGACCATATTATACCCATAGCCTAGTAGAACATAAAAATCCTATCTATCCACATTCCTCCAACACTTGATTCAATCAGAATTCTTTTATATACACAGTATTATTTTAATTGACATATAAAATTGTGCATTTTTATAGAGTACTATAGGACGTATCAATACATGTATATAAAGTGTAATGATCAGATTCTACCAGAATTCCTAGTTGTTCTCAGTTGAAAAGTGTAAAATGATATCTCATTATGGTCTTGATTTGAGTTTCCATGACTATTTGTTAACCAGTTTATTTTTTATAAAATTAAAATTCTGGCTGGGTGTGGTGGGACATGCCCACCCGTCATCTCAGCACTCGGGAGGCTGAGGCAGGAGGATTGTCATGAGTTCAAGGCCAATCTGGCCTCCATAGTGAGTTCAAGGTCAGCCTGAACTACCGAGCAAGACCCTGTGTCAACAACAACAACAACAAAAAATTAAAATTCTGGAACATTTATACTCTCATCCATTTTGAGTTTGGCTTTACTTATGCAAATCTGCTTACAGTGCTTTGCGTGCACTTCCCATATCCTCTTTCTCCAAACACAGATCTTTCAAGCATCAGCTACTGTGCCTCAGGACACCCCTTATTTCAATCCAGGCCCTTTCCTCTTTAATAAACTGTTTCACTCTCAGCCTCGCCCATGAGAGACCTCTCCTGAGATTCCAAAGTATGTTTGGGGTGGGCCTGGAATTTAGCTCAGTGGCACCATGCCTGACTCACAAGCGCAAGGTCGTGAGTTTGACCCCCAGTACCGACGAACAACCAAAATACGTTTGGAAGGATTTACAGGTGGCGAAGGTCTGTGTCATCAGGAGGAAATAAAGAACCAGGGGATTGGAGAACTGAGTTAACATGTCCTCCTTTGTAGCTAAGATTTTTTTCTGTTCATGGACCTTGAGTTTGTGTTGGAGGGCTCGGCTGGGTGCTGTGAGTCATCACTAATCCTCTCAGCCAGGGGAACGGGTGCTGTGTGAGCGGGGGACCACCAAGTCCACAGTAGAGATGGACGTTCCGCACAGTAGAACTCAGGCAGCCAGTTACTGGAACAGCTGTGTACCAAGTGCACGGCAAGATGGAGCACCAGGGCCCTCCTGAAAATGGAGGAGAGGCTTCCAGAGGCAGGGATGCGCTGTGGGGCCCGGGATGTCTGTAGGTATATCCGGAAGTCAGGGGTGTGGGTAGCCAGGAGTTTGCTTATGAGCAGCCTTTAAGCAGTGGGACCAGTCGCCCTCAGTGGTCCAGGGTGGGAGCAAGGAGCAGACAGACACTCAGTTTTCTGGTCTGGACTCCTTGGTGAGTCCCATGCTATTTACCACTCAGAGGCCTTGGCTTTTTGGACTCAGAGCGGCCGGTATGAATACACTCTCCCCGTCCCTGGCCTCATCTACCTGCTGTGTGTTTTCACAGGGGTTCCACTGCACCTGGGCCTTCGAGCTCCTCCTGGAAGTGAAGTCCTGGCATCCTGAACACACCCAGCAGCCTTGAGCAGGGAATTTTGGAGCAATTGCTGATAGGCATGGCGCTTGGGTTCCTGGGGGAAACGTGCCAGTCAACCCTGGCTGAGTCTCAGCAGTGTTCAGGAGAATCCTTGGAGAAGAAGGAAGAGAACAGAGACATGAAGAGGAAGAGAGAGCAGCCAAGAGGTCTCAGTGCCTGGGACCACCCTCACGGTCATTAGAACCTCTCGTTTTTCTCCTTCTGATCTTACAGAAATGCTTTACTCACTCACTGTTCTGTGAAGAAGCACAGCTTTATGGCTAATAGCTCCTGATTGCTTATGCCTGCATTTCTGCATCGGTGAAATGGGGATAATAATAATAATAGGGCTGTTGGGAAGATAAATGAGATGATCTGTGGGAGCTGCTTAAACCAACGCTTGGCATATAGTACCATTCAGAATTAGTTTGCATCTTTCCTGTGACCTTTGTACAAGTCTTTCTGGAAGCAGGGGGCTCCTGCTGATTTGGGGACGGACATCTGCCTGCAACCACCTGTTACCCTTTGCTTTTACATTTTTACTGCCCTATCTCATGCACCAACGTCCTTTTCCCAGGAACTCTGAGGATAGCAGTGGCTCAGCTTTGTGGCATCAGCTGAGGCCATGGTTAGGATAGTGGGTCAGAGAAATGTTGTCTTTCAGTTTTCTCATATCTTTGAAGTTCTTTCTGGCTTTCAGCCTCTTGTGAATTGAGATTAAGTGCATCTGCTCCAAAGCTGTCTTCTGGTTTCCTCCACTCCAGTGGCCTCTCTGCTGGAGTCTGGCATAGACCAGTCAAGCACAGCTCTGAGTCCCATGGACACCCACTCCAAATCCACTGCAAAGAGGTTTGAGTGGAAGGAACCCGGGATTCCCCCAGCTATGCTTCCTCAAATGTTTCTTTTCCTCTGCTCTTCCAACAACAGCTTGTACTGTGCATTTGTCAGTGAATCATTTGTCACCTTTTGTGACACCTCTTTTTCCTAATGGACTATTAAGCTTGTCCTGTTGTTTACCTTTGCAAGACTTTTTGCTTGATATTTCTCCTCAATTTGTTTGCAAGCTCCCTTCACAGCATTTCATGTCCCAAATAGATTCTGGAAAAACATCTGATTTTTGTTGAGCTCTTTAGGTAGGCCTTTTTTCCTCAGTACTTTTTCTCTCCCTTTATAGGCCTGGTTGGTTTACACAACATTGGACAGACCTGTTGCCTTAATTCCTTGATTCAGGTGTTCATAATGAACACAGACTTCACGAAGATATTGAAGAGGTAAGCCTGTTATTCAGACTGATAAACATGCATACTATTTTAGGTTTTTAAATATTCACTTTTTCACTGTGATTTTAGAAGTCTTCTTTCACAAGGTGCCAGAGAAAAAGGTCCTTTCCTACATATTCTGGACTACACATTAGATTCACACAAGTTGTTTGGTTTCAGTTGGTCTGGGTTGGCAACCAGGCTCTGATACTTTTAAAAAGTCTACCTGAGTGACTTTAAAGTACGGGCAAGATTGATGGCCACTGGTTTGGTTAAAAGGGAGTTGGGATTAGTTTAATGTCAGGAAAAAAGGCAATAGGATTGAAAGCGCGTGTGTGAACGTGTGTGTTTACCTCCCATTCTCCCCATCATTGGCAAGGGCAATCGAGAGTTGCCTGCAATTAAATGAATCTTTGCTAAAACACTCATCATCCTCATATTACCCTTCGTAACTCACTATTCGCTGTTCCAGTTCAAAGTGCTTCCAGCAAGACCTTCAGTGACCTGCCCCACAGACCCAGAGCCTGGTGCATCTGCCCTTGGTTGTGGTGTGACTGTGTGTGTGTGTAGGAGTTGTGTTGCTCCCTCTCTCAAGGGAGAACTTTGCATAGCTGATCACTAACTTGGTGGTTTTCAGCTGTGGTTCCCCATTTAAGTCCCTAGGCCCCATCCCTCTGAGTTCAGAGTTCTTTCCTGAGTGGCTGGGACATGGAGATTTTTAAGGTTTTCCAGGTGATTCCAGTGTGTGCCTCTGGTAATGATGTTCCTGCTGTTCTTCCTTGGCAGGATGACAGTGCCAAAGGTCTCAGAAGAGCAAAAGAGAAGTGTCCCCTTCCAGCTGCTGTTGCTGCTGGAGAAGATGCGGGACAGCCGGCAGAAGGCGGTGTGCCCCACGGAGCTGGCCTACTGCCTCCAGAAGAACAATGTGCCACGTGAGGCTCGGGGCTGGGGCTCTGGCTGCTGCCTGTGACCTCCAGTGGTGGGAGCCCAAGAGAGAGGGGAGAGCATGGCTCGTGGGCAGAGGTGGACGCTGGACCGCCTGAGGTGGAGGGTGGTGTAGATCTGAAATATTTTTGATGTTTTTTTTTTTTACTTTTAAAAGAAAAAAGCCTGGGCCGGGGATTTAGCTTGGTGGTTTCTCCGCCTGCTTCGCAAGTGCAAGGACCCGAGTTCGATCCTTGGTACCAAAAATAAAAAAAATTAATAAATAAAAGAAAAAAGCCTATTTTAGTGGATATTTTTGTGAATGTTATTGGTTTACTATTTTTTGAAGTATTTTTTTTTAACTGAGAACAACTGTATTTAAAGGGTACAGTGTGACCATGTGATACATCTACACAGTGCATAATGATCAAATCAGACTAATCAGTGTTTTCCTTTCTTTAAATATTTTCTTTGTGTTAGGAAACTTTGAGCTCATTTATATGTATTATATGCACTACGTAGTGAATGGTTATGACCTATAATCTCCTTACTGTGCTACAGAACATTAGACCTTTTTCTTCCTACCTGATTTAATTTTGGTGCCTGTAATCCAGCCTCCCTCCACACCCCTTTACTCCATTCCTATCCTCTAGTGACCACTATTCTGCTCTCTACTAATATGAAGTCACCTATTTAGCTTCTTCGTATAATTGGTAACATGGTATTTGTCTCCCTGTGCATGATTTGTTTCACTTAATGTTCTCCAGTTCCATCCATGTTGCTGCATACGATAATATTTCATCTTTTTAATTGCTGGATAATATTCTGATATATATATATATATATGTATATCACATTTTAAAAGTTCATTCATCCTTATATGGACACTTAGATTGTTTACTTTTTCTTTTTCTTTTTTTTTTTTTTTTGGTACTGGGGATCAGACTCAGGACCTTGTGCTTAAGAGGCAGGTGGCATTGTTTACATTTTTTGGCTGTTGTAAAGAGTGTTGTAGTAAACATGGGAGTGTAGATATCTCTTCACCCTACTGTGTCTGTTTTTAATGCCAGTACATTCTGTTTTGGTTACTGTTATTTTGTAATACTTTTTGTATGATCTCTCTTTGCTGAATCTCTCATTCATATCATGAGTAGTCTTCCTATTTTTACTGAATTATCTGAGTGTATTTTCTCATGTCTCATTAAATCCCCTTGATATTCTTTTGAATTCTTTTTAGGCAGTTTGCCAATTTCCCTTTCTTTGGAGTCATGGCTAGAGAGTTACTGTATTCCTTTGGAAACCTTTTATTACCTTATTTTTTTTCACGCTCCTCATATCCCTATGGTACTTGTGTGTCTAGTGGGTCACTTGTCTCTACCAAAAGATACATATTCTTGTCTTGTTCCAGATCTTAAAGGACAAACTCCATTTTTCCTTGTAGAGTATGATATTAGCTATGGGCTTGTCATACATGGGGCTTTATTTATTGCCAACATTTTTATTGCTTTGTGGAGCAGTTTATGAAGACTGTCACTTCCCTTGTTTCAGTTGTGTTCTCACCTTCCTTTAGCTTTCTATAGCAATTTGTGTCCCTTAGGGAATTTTTCTTATCTTTCTTTGAATCATGGTTATTTGAATGCTGTTCTCCACTAGAATACTGTATAGGTTTCTTGGAGACGAAAACTTTCTTTGGCATGTGGAATGCCTTGCACACAGCAGGTATTTAGTGCACAGTGGAATAGGTAAGTGTCCTTGTATTTTTTAGGTGAATAGGGCTCTCAGTTCTGGGAGGCCTAGGTGAGGGGAAGATGTCTCTATATGGATACGATCCAACTTCCTCTCCATCCACATCAGCTCTGTGGCAGGAATCCTGTACCAGAGAGCCTCAACTGAATCCTACTATTAGACCGTGTGTCTTTGAGTTTCAGGTTCATTGTGTTGGAAAAAAGATTGATTAATCTACTCAACTGATAGATAATGGTTATCTGTTGAGTGCCAAGCATCATGGTGTTGCTGGGGAAAAGGAAACAAGATGGACAGAGCCTTTGCCTCTATGGAGCTATAGTTTAGAGGCAATAAGGCCCAAACCAAAATTGAAACAAAATAAACAAAATTTTTAGGTCCAAGTTGTGGTATTATTAAGGAAAGAAAATGGTGTTGAGATGGCAGATTTAGCACATTTTCAGTGACCACCTTTTCTTGCAGTGTCTTTGCATTTTGTCACCTATCCTTCTGGAAAAAGTCTTTGGTGTGGTTTTCATTTCCTTTAACTTCTTAATCCTTTTCATAACAACACTGTTAAATTCACAATAGTTTCAGCCTTATATTTACCTATGTGACAGGTGTGGAATTCACAGCCAAGTTCTGGCTCCCTCTAAGCCTGCATCGTATGATACTAAGTTGGTCCCTCTCTCCTTGTCTTCTTGGCAGTGAATAAAAAATACATCAAGGTTCAGAGAAATGAATTGCTTAGTCAGAGTGATGGCCTAGTATAAATGTAGGAGAGCATTCCTGGTACTGTCAGGCTGGGCCCCCTTGTAGGGGCCAGGAGAGCTGGATGGAGAATGAAAGGGTGGGAAACTTGTGTCATGTAATAGGACTGTGACTTAAGTTTTTGTTTGTTTGTTTGTTTTTTCGTACCAGGGATCAAACTCGGGTCCTTGCGCTTGTGCAGCAGGCGGCAAAACCACTGAGCTAAATCCCCGGACTCTACTGTGGGTTAAGTTTTAAGACGAGCTCTCCAAAAGCCATAGCAAACTTACTTTTCATTTATTGGGCACCTAACATTTAGTAAAAACATCCTTTTCTGGAGTGGAGGAAGGCTAGTAATGACAAAATAGTGTCATGGTAGCAAAGCACAGGGCATGAGAAATCTCTGGTGACCTCACTGACTTCTGTTGCTTCTCTTTCAGTTTTTGTCCAGCATGATGCTGCTCAACTGTACCTTATAGTCTGGAACCTAATCAAGGACCAAATCACTGATAAGGACTTGGTAAGAACTTAGAATTAGAAAATTCAGAAGTTTAGGGTGCTGCTCATGGAAGTCATTCGGTTATTGTTTATGCCGTGTGTAAAGAGGTACAAAGGAGTTAATCTACATAGAATCCTTATCACAGTTGCGTGGCATAATTCCCGTTACTCTTCTGGACCTTTGTGTGTAGTGGTTACTACTTCTAGACCTTCTATCTGGTGAAGCTACCTTCTGGAAATTGGCCTGACCTGGTTTGCAGCTTTTTGCCCATCTTACCTGTTCCTTCTTCCCTCTTGCAGGCAGAGAGGCTGCAGGACTTGTACACTATCTGGGTGAAAGATACCTTGGTTTGCCTAGACTGCACCGTGGAAAGCAGCAGAGACAGTAGCTTGCTGACCCTCCCTCTTTCTCTTTTTGACATGGACTCAAAACCCCTTAGAACATTGGTGAGAAACTTCTTGGTTAAATTAGCACACCATTGCCACCCCCCACCCTGCTTCTTTTATCGACTCTTGGCTTTTAAAAAATAAATTTCTCCTTTGATTTGGAAAAACATACTTTCCCCTCCTACTTCCACTTTCCTCACACTGTTCCCTTAACAAGTGTCTCTCCAGCTCCTGCTTTGTTCCTCCTATCTGTGGGTACTTTAGGAGACCCTGCCAAATGGACCACACAGGCCAGTCATTTGGGGGATATGACGAAAATCAGAAGCAAAGTTTGAGTCCCCACCTGGAGGATGTGGGAGTAAGGGGTTACTATCTTGATGGGAAACACCAACACTGCCTGTTTTTCGTTCTTCTGGTGGGACAGGAAGACGCCCTGCGCCATTTCTTCCACCCCAGGGAGTTATGCAACAAAAGCAAATTCTTCTGTCAGAACTGTGGGAGGAAGACACAAGGGACACAGGTACTCACATAAGTGCAAATCTTTCGATAGCCTGGGGTTGCCCCTGGAGGACTTCCTGATAGCCTTCTCAGACCTGAGGGCACCTCATGATGGTTGAGGGAGGGAGGGAATCTGCATCAGGCTAGTGTCTGGGATCCTGGGGCTTCTGATTTCCAGAGCTGTGCATGTGACTTCTCAGATCACATCATCGAGAGGGACAGAGGCTCTTAGGGAGACGAGGAAAAGGTCCAAGAGCAGCGGGCAGGATTTATCCATCAGGGTTAGACCAGTTTCCCAGTACAGATACCATAGTTTTCCCCTTGGGCAGAACCTGGGGGCCACTTGTGCCTTTGTGGGGGCCGTGCAATGGTGTCACACGAGTCTTGGAGGAGCTCACCAGATGCCGTGAACAGGAGCCTTTAACTCTCTGTTGTATCCGCTTGTACCTGTGAGAGTACATACCACCAGCCCTGCGTTTCTTGGAATCTGCTCATTTCAAGTGTCTGAGGATTTGATCTCCATAGTGATTTTGTTTTTTCAGGCCTTGAAGCTGACCCGTTTGCCCCAAACTTTGACCATCCATTTCATGAGATTCTCCATCAAAAATTCAAGGGCAGAAAAGGTCTGCCATTCATTGTATTTCCCTGAGAGCCTGGATTTCAGTCAGGTTCTTCCAAGTGAGCAGGACATCAGTGAAGCAGAGGAACAGGTGAGATGTTCACTTCTGTCCTCATCGGTCTTAGCACACACCATGTCCTTTAGATTCAGTCTCTTCTCACCTATCAGCTTCCAGACAAGTTCTCTAGCTCCAGGCTCTTACCAAGGCCACATGATGATTTGGTCTCACTTAGATTCCAGACTGTGAGGCAGAGTTGAGTAGCCTCATGCTGGACAAACACTGGCCACAGATGTGTTTCCTCTGCACATTTGGGATACGCAAAGAAAGGAAACCAGCCACACCTCAGTGTAACTCATAGAAGCACACACATATTTGAGACACGCTATTCTTTAAGCAGTATTTTAACCATGGAAACCTATATGCTCTTGATTAACAGTGGTGGTTTGTTATCACCATATTGTCACCTCTAGCCTTTGCTGCTCATAGTGGCTTTTCTTTTAAGGTGCAAACACCTTCCTAATTTTAACTATTGGATTTTTGTGTGTAAACACCTCACAGAAATAAGGGAGGGAACTCATAATTCAGTACTTTCCTTCTGAGATAGCGTGTAAAATATTGACAAATCTGTAAGTAAATATGATATTTTGGGTTCTAAGTATAGTACCAATTAAACTTTCTCATTAAAACAACCATAGCTCATTTTGAGGATAATAAGAAAGTAGTCAGTTGATTGGGCCAAATTTAATCAAACGAGAGTTTAGTTCAGTTGTCCTGAGATAATCACTTACCAACTCTGAGAAAAAAAATGACATAAATATCTTTTTTTCATAAGTATGAAATGCTACATTTAGAAAATTTTGTATTCTCATATATAGGAATATAATTTTAGAGTTGTTACATCAGTCTGTCTATTCATGCCCAGAGACCATGATATTTAAAAAATTAAGGGGACAGGGATTTAGCTCAGTAGTTCTGCCACCTGCCTCGCAAGCGCAAGGTCCTGAGTTTGATCCCCAGTACCAAAACTTTAAAAAGTAAATAAAATAAAAAATTAAGGTCTGATAATATGATACATGGCTTCTATTATGACACAGTTTTTTTTAACCTATTGAGGGCATCTGTATCTCACAAGAGACTCTTTTTTCATAAGGTATCTTTTAAGATACCCTCTCCAAAATTATTTTGAAGCAAATCCCATACATCGTACTCCTTCATTTATAAACACTTCACTATGACTCACCAAAGAATAAACGTTCTTTTCCTCAACATAATCAATTCTATCTCATAATTCTTTAATATTTTCAAATATCTAGCCAATGTTATTTCTCTGACAGTTCTATAATTTGTGTGGTTCATTTGAATCTGGATCCAAACAGGTTCCACATTTCCATTTGGCTGCCTCCCTCCCTTCCTTCCTTCCTTCTTCTGTTTATTTGCTAAGTTTATTTTAGGGTTTCCTTTCTTTTTCTTGCAGTTTATTTAGTTGAAGTTTTTCATATTCCATAATCAGCTGGTGTTATTTAACAGATCCATCTAAACCCCTTATTTCTTGTAAATTGATCATTCACCCAGCATTTTTTATAAAGTCCAGCATGAAGTCCTCACAGGAAAGCAGAGAAAACTTTGCACCCTGGATTTGGGGTGACTTGGTTCCCTTGAATTGCCTTCCCCCTCCACCTCACTGATCCTGCTTCCAAAGTCTCATTTGAGTCATTATTCAGTGTGTAGATAAACTGCTTTTTTTTAAAAAAAAAACCTTATAGAGAAATGCAATTTGATTTATTTTCTGATTTAAAAATTTAGATTAATTTTTAAATCTACAGATAAACATTGTATATGTTTATGGTGTCAACATGATGCTTTGATATATGTATACATATTGGAATGATGATGTCAAGATAATTTACATATTCACCACCTCATATATATTTTTAGTGGCGAGAACATTGAAAGTCTATTTTTAAAGCAATTTCCCAGTACAGTGGCATCTCGGTTCATAAACTTAATTCTTTCCATAATTCTGGTTGCAACCCGAATTGAACAAGAACCAAATCAAATTTCCCCATATGGTCAACACTGAACTTAACCATTGAATTTAATTTGGTTTTAATCCAACTCGGTTTGCAACCAGAATCATGGAAAGAATTAAGTTTGTGAACTGAGGCACCACTGTATACAGAACATCAGTGTCAACAATAGTTATTGCACCAGAACTTATTCCCCCTGTTTAACTGAAGCTTTGTACCCTTTGTCAACTAATTTCCATCTTCCCTATCCCCTCTCCAGTCCTTGGTGACCACTCTCTGCTTCTATGGGTTTGACTTTTTTAGGTAGAAGAAAGTATTTATTTATTGGTACCGGGGATCGAACTCAGGACCTTGCGCTTACGAGGCAGGGGCGGTGCCACTGAGCTAAATCCCTGGCCTTAGAAGAAAGTATTCTTGGTTCTGCTCTCCCTAAAGGGTTCTGATGGTTGCCCTTCACTCATGAGGTCCTCTTACAATCAATCAGGAGTCTCTCTCTCAGCACTATTCCCTTTTTATAGAAAGTTATCTTTTACTTTGATTTTCCAAGATCGTAAGGGAGTAGAATGATGCACTACCATATCTAATGGATACTTCTGGGGCTTTTTCCAAAATTTCTCCATGATATTCCATTTTACTGACCCTCCTTAAAAATCTATCTTCCCCTAGGTTTCTCTCCAAGGGTTTCTTTCTTCATTGCTGGATCCTTTTCTGACCATCATTGCATGGATATTTAGTTTTAGTTCTATTCTTTTTTCTCTCTCTTTTCAAATATCATCTCATTAATTCTCATGATTTCAAAAATTGCCTCAAACTGAGAACTTCCGAATCTATATCTTCTGTCCAATTTTTTCTTGAGCTCCAAACTATGTTTTCACCTCCTTGCTGAATGTTTTCACATAGAAATCAGTCTCCCAATTCATGATTTTCATTCCAAACAACTCTGTTCTGTATTTGACTTTACAGTATCAATGTGACCCTAATATCTAAGCCAGAAATCTGAGGTTCATCTGTATAATGCTTCCTATTTCCCTCCTTAACCTAATTAGTTACCAAGTACCTTTAGTTATTTCCACCTAATTTTACCCAAATCCATCTCTTCATCTCCATTTTCTGCATGGGCTTTCACCAGACAGGCTGGCCTGAAATCCTGCCTTTAGAGGTTTTGGCCTTGGGTAAATTACCTTATCTCCTTCCTTGAGTTCAGATTCTGCCTCTGTCAAGTAGAACATATACTAGCACCCACCTCAAAGAGGTACTGTGAGTATTAAATGAAATGTCATTTGCTAATAACGATTATTATCATTTTAATGACTACCACTGATAGTAATTCAGATTATCACCATTTCTTCCATGTGTCCTTGCGGTGCCCTAATTTATCTCATTGGTTTCTATCACATTTGAATTGTCTACTCCCCCCCCCCCCCCCCCCGTACTGGGGATCGAACTCAGGACCTTGCACTTTCAAGGCAGGTGTGGCACCACTGAGCTACATCCCTAGCCCTACTCATTTTTCAAACTACTTTGTTTCAGTGTGTTTTTCAAAAATCAATCTGATGTTGCTTCTCTCCCTAAGATGTCCTGATGATTCCCAGTCATTCATGGGATAAAGTCCTCCTCCTCCTCCTGCTCTTCCTCCTCCTTTCTCCCTTCACCTCCACCTTTTTGATATGAGGTCTTGTTGCATTGCCCAGACTGGCCTCAAACTTGAGATGCTCTTACCTCAGTCTCCTGAGTGTCTGGGATTAGAGGTGTGCACCATCATGTCTGGCTTGTTAACTTGGCCTGTGTAGCCTCATTTCTAGGGACCCCTCAGCACCCTTCCAGACCCCAATGTCCTCAGTATTCTCTACTCTGTTTTGCTGCGGAGTCTTTGCAATGCCTGGGTCTGCATTTTAAAATAGTCTCTTCCCATAGCTTGTCTGCCAGTCTTTAAGTTCAGCTCAAACAGGTCTTTTCTGGGGAAGCGTTCCTCACCTTCTCTGCCCTTCCTCACTTGGCTTGTTCCTCCTTCTTTTTGGGTAAAAATGGATCCTTCTCAAATTACCTGTAAGGATATCTAGTATAAATCATACCATGATGATTCTGGTTTATATATTTGTCCTTCAGTTAGCTGTGAGATTCTTGAGATCAAGGACTTCATTCTAGTACCAGTGAAGTACCAGTGTCTGGCATGGTCCGTGAATAAATGGGTGGTGAAATAACATTTCTTAATTCCAAATAGGGGTGTAAAAGGAGCAGGGATAGGTGAATCACCCGATGCTTCATCTCCTTCCAGGATGAAGGGCAGTATGAACTCTTTGCTGTGATTGCCCACAGTGGGATGGCTGACTTCGGTCATTACTGTGCCTATGTCCGGAATCCTGTGGATGGAAAATGGTTCTGCTTCAATGACTCCCATGTTAGTTGGGTGAGAAACATTATCCAAAATTGCCTCTTGCCCTGGATTAGCCACCTCTAATAAATTCTGAGCCCAGGGCTGCATGGGTCTTCAAGGTCAAACACAGTGTGTTCCTGTTTTTTCTCTGTGGGGGTTGGTGACTTTCTAAGAGGGTCAAAACCCTTTCCTGCATGTCATCCCCATGGGGTCTGCAGCTCTGCAAAAATCCACTGACTTCATTGTCTAGGTTTCTGGTGCTCTAGGATCAGTGCCCTGCAGTTTCACATTCTGTGGGAAACTTCTGTAAAACCAGAAGAATTAGAAATGTGTAAGTGACAACTCTGGAATAAGCATAGCTGAGTTTAAATAGCAAGGCTATTAAAAAGACTTCATTATACATGACATCCTGTTGCTAGGTGCTCCAGGTTGTCTAGAGGAGTGAAGGAGGGTAAACTATAGTACCCTGCATGCTGTGGATACTTAGTAGAGTCGGTTCACTGCTGACTTCATCCCTTCTACACTTTCAGGTGTCCTGGAAAGACATCCAGTGCACCTATGGAAATCACAGCTACCGCTGGTAAGAGAAGCACCTGGGTAATGGAAAACAAATGAACGGATACTGGTTCTTAGTGCTACAAAGCTCGCAGGGAGTCAGCTACTTACATGCGGGTGACTCCCCAGGGACTAACTCTTCAGCTTCATCTTTCAACACTCATCTCCCTGGCACACACTTTTCATGTTTCAGTACTCATGGCTGTTTCCTACTCTGCAGCCCTTTCCTGATTGGCCTAATGGTTTGTAGTGTATGGTTTCATTGCATCTCGAGGCTTCCTCCTTTATAGTAAGGTTCATATTGTTTGCTTACCTAGCTTTCTTTTCTATTAGACCATATACTCTTTGGCGAGAAAGGACTACTCTTCATCTTTCTTTATCTGGAATATTGGCTTGAATTTAGTAAATATCAATAAATTTTTTTAAAAAATCAGTTAACTATACAGGAATCTGGAGAGAACAAAGTTAAGTAAAATTAAGGCAGAGAGACCGCGTACTTTTTTTTTTTAACTGAGTTTCTAGATTAGGAGCAACAATGTATATCAAAGATGACATTAGAGATGATTCTCAGTTGTAGAGGCAGGTGTGATCGTGTGAAAATTAATGAATTAGGTGTAATTTGTATCTGAAATCTTTCTTTAACTTTCTACTTTTCATCTTTCTGTTCTGTTTCTTCTAAGCATCTGTCTTAGATGCTTCATCTTTGTCAGTTTTCTGTCATTGATTCCTCATTACACCAGGAGTTGGCCTACTGGTTCTGTAAAGGGCCAGAGGAAATAGATTTTATTTCATGGATCATAGTCTTTGTGCAGCTATGCAGCTCAGAAGAGGCTGTAGACCGTGCATGAATGAAGGAATATAATTGACTTGTTGCAGAAATGGGGTTGGTTTGACTTATGGTCCCCTAATTTGTCAACTCCTAATTTAGAGTTTAACTAAGAGCAACCTAGGGGTTATTTGCCCAAGTCACCATTTTGTGCTCCTCTGAGGGCTCAGTGGGTGATGGGTAGATGAAGATTTGGTCCGACAGCTGGGAAGTTTACATATGCTTGCCTTATCATGAATTAATAACATATCATTTCACTGTGACTGTTTCCTTTTGCTATGCTGATACATTTTTCTCTTCTTTCCAGGCAGGAAACTGCATACCTTCTGGTTTACATGAAGACCAAGTCCTGATGGATACACCCTAAACCTTCAGAAACTGACAAACTATTATTTTCCTTTTCTATCTCCTGGATCAGGTAGACTCTGCTAAGAGATTTGGCAATGAGAAGAAGCATAATTTTCAAGTATATCAGTATATAAGTGTATAATTTGTATATCAGTATCTAAGTGTATAATTTGCAAGTGTATCGAGTGATCACTACTGTGGTTTGTGTGGGAGCAGTGCAGGAGGCATGGCAGTGTGAGGTGGTGGGAGCTTTAACAAACAAAGCCTAGTGGGAAGCAGTTAGGTCCATGGGCTCTCCCCATCCACACACTGATTGTGCCCTTTCCATTTCTCCATCACACTTGATGCAGCCAGGAGGGCCCTTGCCAAGATGCCAGCACCCGTGCTGGTGGGACCCGTCAGCCACTAGAATTATGAACCAAATAAACCTCTTTACTTTACAAAGTACTTAGTCTCAGGTGTTTTGTTATAGCAACAGATAAAGACTAGTACAATTATCAAAATATTTAACAATGAGATCGCACAGGCCCGGATCAGTCCTGTGTGGCTAGCTCAGGGCCCTGAGTGCATGCTTGACAAGTGGCAGACTCAAAACTTCCAGAATAAAATGTGGATAAATTTTTGATATTATGTTTATTGCCTAAAAAAGATTAGCTTTGCAAATGTAAATTCTCATTGGATAACCCTCACCGAAACCCCTCCTTAGAATGAATCATTGTTAAATAGCATATATTGGTTTCCTAGGGCTGATGTACTGTAACAAATAACTACAAACTGGGTTGTTTAAAACAACAGAAATGTATTGTCTCATAGTTCAGGAGACCAGAAGTCTGGACTTGAGGTCTCCACAGAGTTGATTCCTCCTGGAGGCTCTGAAGGAGACAGGTTCCACACCTCCCTCCTGGTTCCTAGTGGCTGTCAGCAGTTCTTGTCATGCACTGGCTGTGCCTGTGTCACTCCAGTTGCTGCCCTCACCTTCACGTGGCTTTCTCATGAAGATGCCAGCCATTGAAGTTAGAGCCTACACTCATCTACCAAGACCTTATTTTTATTTAATTACAATTGCAAAGACCTAATTTCTAAGTGAGTTCATGTTCTGAAGATCTAGGTGGGCATGAATTTTGGGGGGACACTAAATGCAGTGCAAGAGAAGGGTCCTACTGGACTTTTTTCTATGCATTTGCATATATATGTATTTATAACATAAATTATATTGTACAAACTACACTCATTGCTTTTTTTCACTTAACCATGTCTTAGAAAAATTTCCAAGCCTCTGTGTGGGTGGAGAGTAGTCTTTTAAAATTTTGCATTTGATTCTGTAATCATTATGTACTACAAACATGTACTGATAAAAAATAAAAATTGAAGAAAATGCGTTTGGTTCTTGGTAAATATTTAAAGTATTTCCCTTCTTTATACTATTAAAAATGTAGGGTGAATACTTGTATATATATCTTTGTACACATCTGTAAGTGTTATTGTAGGTACTGAAAAGTGAAATTACTGGGTCAAAGAGCATAGATATGTAAAAATTATAATTAATACTGCTAAACTCACTCCAAGTTAACACCAAGGGCATTAAATTTTGTCAAATGCTTCTTCATCTGTTGAGATGATTCTATAATTTTTGACGTACATCTATTGGTTTGTGCATGTTGAAATATCCTTGAGTCCTAAAGGTAAATACTATTTGATCATGGTGGATGACTCTTCTAATGTTTTCTTAAGCTTGGTTTGCTTTTATTTTTGTTAAGTTTTGCATTTACGTTCATTAGAGTAGTGGTCTGTAATTTACTTTTCTTGTAGTGTCTTTATTTTGGTATCAGGGTAATGTTGCTCTCATAAAATGAGGTTGGAAATATTACCTCTACAACTTCTGAAGCATTTGAAAACATTGAGAATTACTAATATTTTATCACATAATTTTTAATAGTTGTCTTTTTTGGTAATTTGTAGATCCAGCCAGCTCCGAAGAGCCCCACCTATAGAGCATGAGGCTTTAGGGGGCCATCTAGATACAAGGGGTGGACTTGGTACACACAATGCCTTAGCAGTAGCAGCAGCGACACCAACCTGTTAAGGTCCTGGCAGTGCGGCCCCCCTTACTCCCTCTGCTCTTCCTCCCTTAGCGCCCCCTGGCGGATCAGATGACTGAAGAACAGATTGCTTCAGATTGCTAAATAAAGGAAACTTTCTCCCTATTCCATAAAGATGGTGATGGCACCATCACAATAAAGGAACTGGGAACTGTCAGGAGGTCACTGGATCAAAATGCAGCAGGAGCTGAATTGCAGGGCATGATCAATGAAGTGGATGCTGGTGGTAACTGCATCACAGACTTCCCAGAATTTTGGACCTATGATGGCTAGAAAAATGAAAGATACAGATAGTGAAGAAGAAATTTGTGAGGCTTTCTGAGTCTTTGTCGAGCATGGTACATCAGTGCAGCAGAACTATGTCATGGACTTAAATATCTATCTGTTAACAGGTAATTGTGGCAGTTTTGCTTTTATTTTAATACCATTATTTCAGACCATGAACAGGAGTGACACAAGTATATGAATAGAAAAATGTAAGAATGTAAGTATCCAGAACTCTTTTTTTTTTTTTTTTTTGGTACCAGGGATCGAACTTGGGACTTTGCACTTGTGAGACAGGCGCTGGAACCACTCAGCTAAATCTCTGGGACCACTCAGCTAAATCTGCGACCCCAGAACTTTTTTTTTGAGATGGGTTCTCTCCGTGTTGCTCAGGCTGGCCTCAGATTCACAGTCTAGTTTCTCCATGACATCAACACTTGTTATCATTATTATTTAAATAGCCATCTTAATGGTTGTGGGCAACTGTTTTCACTTACACAGTTTTGGACAGCCTTTTCCACACAAAATGATCTTTTTTTTTTTGGTACCAGAGATTGAATTCAGGTCCTTGAGCTTGCGCAGCAGGCGGCGAAACCACTGAGCTAAATCCCCGGCCCAACAAAATGATCTTGAACATTTTCCCACGTCACAGTCATTCTTGTAAACATTATTTTTAAAAGCTGTGTATTTAACTGATTCTGTAATGTAATTTCATTCATTTCTGGTAAATTTTCAGAGTATAGAAAACAGGCAGAGTAGTTTCATAAATAAATCTTTGTGTATATCTCTAATATTTTCCTTAGGAGGAATTATTGGATCAGAGAGTATACATATCTTAATATTTTAAATAGATATTGCCAGATTATCTAACAAGTTGTATCAGTTTATACTTCATGTAAAAGTGTCAGCATTAAACATTAGCAGAGAAATTAATTTCAGTGTCTAATAATAAATGCATAGAAGCTGGGTGTGGTGGTGTATGCCTGTAATCTCAGCACTTAGGAGGCTGAGGCAGGAGGACTGCCATGAGTTTGAGTCCAGCCTGGAAAACACAGTGAGTTCAAGGCCATCCTTAGCCTTATAGAGAGACCCTGTTTCAAAAAAACCAAAAACAACAAAACCCCCAAAAAGCAACAAACAAAAACATAGAAAAAGATCAGAAAGAATAGACATCAATTGATAACCACAGTTAACCTGAGAATCAGATTGGTTTAATGTATGAGTGAGCAAATAAAAGTTTTGATTTATCTTTATTTTTTTAAGTTTTTCAATAAGAAAGTATTCATGATATTTGGATAAGAAGAAATGATTTAATTTCCTAATATAATAGGTGAAAAATACTTTTGGTACTGGGGATTGAACCAAGGTCTCAGGTAAGCACTCTACCGCTGAGCTATCCCTCCAGTTTTGATGGTCTCATTATTAATATGTATGTGTTTTACTTTTGTTGAAATTAAGCCTTTTCTATATTTATTATGTATCTCCTCTTGTGAAATATCTACTCATTTCATTTATTTTTCTTATTGTTTGTACTTCTTATATATCAACTCTACCATATGTGGTAATGATATTTCCATTGTTTTCTTTTCCATTTTGTTGTTGTTGTTCTTATGTTGTTGCTGTATTTTGCAGCACTGGAAACTGAATCCAGTGCATTGTGCATTTGAAACAAGCACTCTACCACTGAGCTACACCACAGTCCTCACTTACCTTTAAATTTTTTATTTGCTCTTTGTTTTTCTGAGAAAGTGTCTGCTATGTTCCAGGCTGGCCTCAAACTCAAAATCCTCCTGCTTCAGCTTCCTAAGTGCTGGGATTACAAGCATGTACCATGGCACCTTGTCTTTTCTTTTTGCTTACAGGAGTATAAAAAGTTTTATGTAGTTACATTTACTGATTTTTTACTTTATGACCTATTTCTCAAGGTATTTATTTATTTATTTTTAAGACAGGGTCTCACAATGTAGTTCAGGCTGTCCTTGAACTCACTATGTAGTCCAGGCTGGCCTCAAACTCACAGCGATCCTCCTGCTTCAGCCTCTCTGGTGCTCACATTACAGGTGTGTACCACCACAGCTGGCTTAACTCTCAAATTTTATACTTAGAAAAACCCTTTTCCATTTTGAGGTCAGATATTCATCTATTGTTTAAAAAATCTTGCTTCCTATGTATATGTGTTCTAACACTTCACACTTGAATTACACTGTAATTTGTTTTGGTGTGTATTTTGATAAAAGAACTAAAGCTGGGGTATGATCCAGGAACTCAGGCTGAGGGAACAGGGTTTCTACATCAGCCTGGGCAATGTAGTGAAGCATCGTCTCTAAAACAAGATCTAACCTTTTCTCCCAAATCCCAGCACCATTTAAAAAAAAAAAAACATGTCTTTCTTGGTTGATTTGAAATACCACCTTTATCAAACAATAAAGTACACAGGGATTAGATCTGAATTCAGAGTCTGCATTCCGTGGTGTTGCTGGGAAGAGTAGCCATCCAAAAGACCGGCCCTGGAATATTATTGCTCAAATCATTAACTCTGGTTAAATGATGGTTATTGTAACAATATGGAAAATTAGGAGAGAATTTTTTTTTTTTTTGGAGACAGGGTCTCTCTGTGTAGTCCAGGATGGTCTTGAGCTCTCAGCGATCCTCCTGCCTCATCCTCCTAGGTCCTGGGATCACAGGTCTGCATCACTATGCCTGGCAGAGTGATTTTGTTGGAGTTCTTAGTATAGATGCTCTTTCATTTATGATGGGCACTTAATCCCATTGTAAAAAAGTATAAATCAGGACCATCTTATGTAATTTGGGGTCATGATTATTACAGTCAGCTAAGCTAGACAAAAACATTATAGGCAGTCAGACAGGGCGAGGCCCTGGAGTCAGGACAGTAACGTAGTCAGGTAGTAAAGAATTCCTAGGAAGACTTGAAAGCACTACTTTCTTTAACTGCAACATCCCAAGTGTGCACGGACAGGTATGGGAGGGTCCTCCAGCCCACTTCCGAATCCTATCGGCGTTGTGTAAGGCATCGTGGGACGGCGGGAAACAGCCAAAAGGCCGCATAACCCGGAAGAGGTCGCT